CCACAGAGCTTCCTTCTCAATTTGTACTTGTACGCATTCGAACAGTTCTATCGCATATCAAATTGCAATTATTTTGTTAATAATTCTTCTGACATGGGTCTAAGTATAATTAATGATATTTTAACTTGGTTAGGATTTAAATCTGAAGCTTAAAGACGATTCGAGTAGTGAAACAGACATTGACGGTATTGATTTGTTTAATGAAATCAATACTTTAAAGTTGCATTTTCCAGAAAACCAGTCTAATGATCCACAAACCTTATTACAATATTTTTTTACTAATGGCTTAATTTCAACATTTCCGAACATAGCAATAGTACTAAGAATATTACTTACATTGCCGGTTTCAGTTGCATTTGGTAAAAGGTCCTCTTCAAAGTTAAAATTATAAAAAAAAACTATTTAAGATCAACAACGCACCAGCAAATATTAAGTAATTTAGCTATAGTTTCAATTGAACATGAAATCTTAGACAGCTTGGATACATGAAAATTGATAGCAGATTTCGCAAACATAAAGGCAAGAGAAGTTCAATTTCTATAGATAAATATTTATATGGTTTTACACTTAAGTAAACAAAAATAACTTAGTAATAATAAATAGATTTTCTTTGTAAAGTATTTCTTTTCTTTTTTCACACCCTTATGAGACAACACTAAAGAGCCTTTCTGGCAAGCTCAGCATAGGTAGTCATAGTTAAACAGGGGGCGGCATAATCTGTATTGCACACGGGCGTTCAAACTGCTAGCGGCGCCCCTGCTCATATACAACCAAGAAAAGATTTCAGAAATTAAACAACATTGTAATACTCTCTTTAACACACAATTTTGTGAATATATTTATACGAAAATAATTACATAAAAACTTGAGCATCAATTCACTCAAGATTCAAGACATTTTGTAACATAACACCTTCATCCATTCATGTCTTCAATTATTGCTTAATTATTTATTCTAATGTAGTCATGAATTTTGGTTAATCAATTATAAGTAATTTATTACTGAATTATCTAAGTTACTTAAACTAATAAACAGGTTAATGATCCAAAAAATATTCAGTATTAATTATAATTGGTTTTTTAAATTCATATTTAATTACTATAATTATTGAGAAATGAAATGAAACATGTAATGCCATAATATTGTATATGCCAAAAAAAAAAAAAAAAAACTTTTCAGGAGAGGTAAAAAACACTTTTTCTAGTGAATGAATTCATTATAATTTTACAATAAAATGGTAAAAAACTCACTAGGTTACAAGTTCTCTGGAATATCAAAATGATGTAAATATAATCTATTATGACATTGCATGCTTCAAATCATTTCAATTTAATTACTGTACTTTGTTTCATCCTCATATATATATTGTTGGTCTCTGTCGTTTAAAAAAAAAAAAAAAAAGAATTTTTTTGTTTTCTTTTGCTTATGTTTATCTTTGCGTATATATACATATTTTGCCAATGTAATTACTGTAAACAATTATCGCTATTGCTGTACACGCAATTTTATTTGTGTTTTGAGCGGTTTTTGTATGGCAGCACGGTGTTGATGATGGAGGTGTTATATATGGTGGGGAACCGGAAACCTGGCATTCTGGTTCCTGGCGTTCAAGTGGGAAGGTGCGTCCTTCGAGTGTATTGTGTGGACTCTTTGTGTAAGCCGCCACGTGCCAGGCCTACGCCGACCTTTTTGTATTGTAATCTGGTATATATATTTGGTACATAAAATTAGTTTAATCCTGTATTGTACTTGTCTCCTCCCTTCATGGTAATTTTTATTCATCCCTGCGGATATCATCCCACAGTTATTCGCAGATTTCCACAACTTTCCTCTATATAATCCTTGATTACATTAAATTTACACTGGCATATAATTTGAAGAAAATTGCTAGAATTACAATAAAACATTCATATAACTAACACCACATTTCCAAATTTGCTGTTGAAACAAGATACAGTAGAAATGCTATTATCATCAGAAACAAGGTCATGACAGATAAGAGACTAGATGGATAAAAGAATTACCCTATCAGTACAGAAAAATTCATTTACAATCTACAATTAATACAGAATCCTATATGTACTGTACAGCACTGTAAAATCAACAAATTGTTTATTTGCTGTGCAATATTTACATATGATTCTGTACCTTAACCAGCATACAGTACAGAAATGGAAGGTTACATAAAGTAAAATACAGTACAGTATGTACTAAATTATGATAATAGCAAAGAAGAAAAAAAATACAATATCTCTACTGATGATGACCATTCAACACAGGTAAAAACGTTTGCTTTTATGTAGATTTTTGTAGTTTCTTGCCGAATATTGGTTATGTGTAGTGCTTATTTACATGTATCCAGTTTGAGTTGTGGAATTTACAAGTTTATACTGTAATTGGTATACAGTTTAGAAGGTATACCTAAAAATTCCATTTTTTCTCACTTTTTTATTTCCATTAGCAATTCATTGTAGATAAAATAACATATAATAAATAAACTCAAAAAATTAAATAGAAAAGTATTTTAATGTTAATAATATCTCAGTTGACTTGATGATTGGAAAAACACCTACACTGAGATGAGAATTGCAACGCAACCAGTGCAGCTCTTGATGGAAATGACTTCTCTACCAGATATTAGCTCAAAATAATTGAGAATCATTTATTTATTCTATAAATGATTCTCAAGTATTTTGAGCTAGTGGCTGTAAGAAGTTTATAGCACACTAATATGCTGTAGCACATTGAATGAATGAGAATAGAGTAAGTGCTGATAAATAATTTCCATTACCATTATTATTATTGATTTTACTAAGAAAGTTGCACATAGACTCTACAACAGAAAACAACACTAGTTCATCAGATGATTGCTTAGCTCTTATTGTTGGAAACTAACATATGATAAAATTAACAATTGGTTTCAAAATAGTTCTCTGAGAGCTATTATACACAAAAAAAATAAATTACCAGAATTTATTACTTTTTGTAAGTAGGAGTACATAATAATATGAATTAAACTATGGAAGAAAACCAAAGATGAGGCATATCCCAATATGGTTCCAGAAAAATCATGATAACAGATGAATATGTATAATGCATAAAATATTTTTCACATTTTTTAAAAGAAAACCTTGGTAAGTTTACACACAAAAAAAGCTATTGGATAAGCAATTTAAAATTAGCAGATAAACCTGCATTGTCATATAACCCATACATATTTTTAAATTGACTTCTAAAGACATAACCTACAAGCTTTCCATAGGAAATTACAGTACTTAATTAAAAAAAGAAACCAGAAGTAGAATTCTGGTTCATTCTTAACTTAAATCTTGTAATTAAATTAAATTGAATTAAACATTAAAATTATTAAAAAGTGATAACATGCTTAATTCCAGTAACAAATACTTTACAAAAAGCTAACCTACAGAACATAGATTTGTTAAACTTTTGATAACAAATGAGGCAAACCTAACGGGTCATTCCAATTTTCAATGCTGACTCAGCGCTAATCTCAACATTCGTTAAAATTCATTCCTTTTTTCAACGTTGAGGTAGCGCTGTTGTCAGTGCTGACTCAACACACTCAACAGATATGTTGACTGCTACTTTCCAATGAATTGTGGGTAATTGGTAAGACATTTGAATGGAATCCATCTTGCTGAGAATGGAATTATGGGAACTAAGCACTTCATACTCGAGTTGGAACGTCATTGATGACGTCAAATTGTTGACTTCAACACTCAACACTCGCGTTGAAAATTGGAATGTCCCGTAAATAATCTTGCTTGTCTTTAAAATAGATACAATCTTGGTACCAATCATGAGAATTAGGAAATAACATAACATTTAAATTATTTTGAATGTAAATTTCATGTTATTTCCTAATTATTTTAAAAGCATAAACTTTGAAATTATAACAGCATTTTCTGATGACTTAATTGATTTAAGTTAAACAGAGTCAATGTTTTAATTATTTGTAAAGTAGAGAAAACTAAGTTGACAGAATCCATATTATGAATTCTGTCAACTTTAATCATCCTTTTCTTAAATTGTTTATAATAGTTTTTTTTGTTTACTTTAAGATGTAGCAAATAAACTCTCCTGGACGCAATAATCAGTCAAAAAACAAACTCAAAAACATTTCAACATAACACAAAAATTTTAGTTGGTACTTTATGCTAAACATTTTGAAGCTAAAAAATATTCATTTAAAATATAACATAAAATTTAAATTAAATTAGTATTAAAGGTTAAATGAACACATTAAAACTGTCAAG